AAAAAAAAAAAAAAAAAAAATTTGTAAACTTTAAGACATGAGTTCTTTTGGTGGTTTTTTTTTTAGCTCATCAGTTATCGTTAGTGTATTTTATATGTAGCCCAAGACAATTCTTGCAATGTGGCCTAGGAAAGCCAAAAGATTGAACACCCCTGGCTTAGAGTATACAGGAGGATACATGAGCATAGGTCATATTGCAAATACTACAATATTTTATACAAGGGGCTTAAGCATCTGTGGATTTGGGTATCTGAGGGAGTCCCGGAACCAGTCCCCTACGGATAAGGAGAGACTGTATCTGTTTGAGTCCTTGCTTTCAACTCTTTTGGGTATATACTTAGGACTAGAATTGTGTGGTAATTCTGTTTAACTTTTTGGAACCCACCAGCAATGCACCAGGGTTCCATGTCTCCACATCCATGCCAACTTTTTGTTTGTTTTGAAAGCCATTCTAATAGATGTGAGGTAATATCTCATTGTGGTTTTGGTTTGCATTTTTCTAATGACGATGATATTGAGCAACTTTTCAAGTGCTTATTGACCATCTGTATATCTCCTCTGGAGAAATGTCTATTCAAGTCCTTTTTCTTTTTTTTTTTGAGACTGTTGCCCAGGCTGGAGCGCAGTGGCATGATCTTGGCTCACTGCAACCTCCGCCTCCCAGGCTCACGCGATTCTCCTGCCTCAGCCTCAGCCTCCCTAGTAGCTGGGATTACAGGTGCCCACCACCACACCTGGCTAATTTTTGTATTTTTAGTAGAGACACAGTTTCACCATGTTGGCCAGACTGGTCTCGAACTCATGATCTCAGGTGATGTGCCCACCTCGGCCTCCCAAAGTGCTGGGATTACAGGTGTGAGCCACTGTGCCTGGCCCTTTGCCCATTTTTGAATTGGATTGTTTTGTTGTTGAGTTGGAGGTATTCTTTATATATCCTAGATATTAATCCTTTATCAGATACATGATTTACACATATTTTCTTCCATTCTGTGTGTTGTCTTTTCTTTTTTATTTTTTGAGACGGAGTCTCTCTGGTCACCCAGGCTGGAGTGCAGTTGGCGCGATCTTGGCTCACTGCAGCCTTCACCTCCTGGGTTCAAGTGATTCTCCTGACTGCCACCTGAGTAGCTGGGATTATAGGTGTCTGCCACCATGCCCAGCTGATTTTTGTATTTTTAGTGGAGACAGGGTTTCACCATGTTGGTCTTGAACTAGTGACCTCAGGTGATGTACCTGCCTTGGCCTCCCAAAGTGCTAAGATTGCAAGCATGAGCCACTGCACCCAGCCATTTCTGTGGGTTGTCTTTGTATTCTGTTGATAGTGTCCTCTGATGCACAGAAGGTTTCTGTTTTGATGGAGTCCAGTTCACCTTTCTGCTGTCACACCCTCATTTGATGCTGCTCTTTTCCCTTGACTTCCTTGCCCGGGTTCCTGGTGTTTCTCCTTCCTCGCTGGCTGCCTGTCCTCAGGTCTTCTTTGCTGGATCCTTTAACCGCCTGGGATTCCGTAAAGTGCCATTTTCCTGAGGGCTGGTACCAACCCCTTGCCATCTGCAGGTGCAGACCTGAAGGAGCGGGAACAGATGAGTGAAGCAGAGGTGGGGGTGTTTGTCCAGCGACTCCGGGGCCTGATGAATGACATCGGTGAGGATCTGGGTGTGGGGTGGAGGAGGGGGTTTGGGGGTCCCTGCCGATGACAGCCCCGCCACCCCACCAGCATCTAAGGAGAGTCTTCTTTCTGTTGGGAGTTCTGTGGGAAGACAGATGCCTCTCCCAGGGGGTTGGGGGAGGATGACAGAGGGCAATTCTCCCAGAGAAGGAGCTCTGGCTCTTCAGCTTTTGCGTCTACCCTCAGGGTTCAAGCCTGGCCATTCCAAAGCAAGTCAGTTTCCCCAAGCATGCTTTCAGGCTTTGACAACTGCTGTTCCCTTTGCCTGGTATACCCCTTCTTGGTTACTTGAACTTTTACTCATCCTTCAAGCCCCCGAGTATCTCCTCCTCCAGGAAGCCTTCCCAACCCACCCTCCGAGCTTCCTTTTATTGGAGCACTGATGATCCTGGGTCACTAATGCCTGATACACTTTGTCTTCCCCATGAGACTGAGCCCCATGGGAACAAGGGCTATGTCTGATTCATTCTGTGTTCCCAGTTCCTAGCACCCAGCACAGGGCTTGGCACACAGAAAGGCAGGTGCCAGGGAGGCCAGCAGATTAGGCCTACACAGGCATCATCCAGCCCATCCTCCCATTCCTGTTCCCTGGCTGATTCCATAACTTTCCCTAAAGGGAAAATTGGCTTCTAAGATAACCTGGCTGCGGGAAGCAGAAGTCGCAGTGAGCTGAGATTGTGCCACTGCACTCCAGCCTGGGTGACAACAGCAAGACTCCTCTCAAAAAAAAAAAAAAGAGGCCAGGCACAGTGGCTCACGCCTGTAATCCCAGCACTTTGGGAGGCCGAGGTTGGCGGATCACGAGGTCAGGAGTTCAAGACCAGCCTGGCCAACATGATGAAACCCTGTCTCTACTAAAAACAAACAAACAAAATTAGCCGGGTGTGGTGGCGCACCTCTGTAATCCCAGCTACTCAGGAGACTGAGGCAGGAGAATCGCTTGAACCTGGGAGGCAAAGGTTGCAGTGAGCCAAGATCGCGCTACTGCACTCCAGCCTAGGTGACACAGCAAGACTCCGTACCAAAAAAAAAATTAAACAAATAAATAAGATAATCTGGCTGAGGCTCCATGTAATGTCCCCAGACCTGGGTCCACTGAGGCCTCTGTCCCAACCAGCTTTCCCTTCCCCAGCCTTGAGTCTCTGTCCTGGTCCCACCAGGGCCTCGCAGGCTGAGCCCTTCTTCCTCTCCACAGCAGCCTTCCCTGCACCCACCATTGCGGCTATGGATGGGTTTGCCTTGGGCGGAGGCCTGGAGCTTGCCCTGGCCTGTGACCTCCGAGTGGCAGGTACTGGGCCAGGACTGGGGGCAGAGGGTGGGGCTAGGGAGTTGGGGGTGAGTGCAACAGGGTGAGTCTGGGCACTCTGCAGTCAGCCACTGTTCTTGGCTTCAAACCAAAAGTAAAACTAAGGCAAGGCAGGGCACAGAGGGTGCTCAGGCAGAAGCTGCTTCCCCTCCTGGTACAGCCACTAACTGCTGTAGTATCTGTGACCTGTCAGAACCTGTTTCCTTCATTTTGGGAATATTTGACCAACCTCAGAGCAATTGCTCTTAGGAGCCAAGGAGGTCAAAGAGCAATGTCCAATCCTCCCATTCTGTCCAAGTCAGACTTACCTGCCATGTTTCAGAAACAGGTGAGCCCCAGGGATAGTTTGTCAATGGCTGAGTTCATCACAAAGGTGCCTGGGCAGGAATACTGGCACCAGCCAAATTTGCATTACTTGTTCTGAGTAATTAAGCTTTGTTTGAAGAGTGGGAGGGGACAAAGAAGATAACTGGATCATTTTTTCAGGTGACTGACCTGGTGATTAGGAGCAGCCTTCTTGGATGCAGTTAGGCAAAGTCTGAATGTCCTCTCTTCTCCCCCGACCTGCTCTCTCCTGCCACCCCAGGAGACATGTAAAAATGTGTAACTCCAGGCATGAAAGTCGCTTCTGTCTACACAATGCAGATCAAAGAGAAGGAACTGACCAGGTGTCCAGGCACCAAAATACCAGGCTGGTCTAGCCCCAACTCTGCTTCTCACATGCCCATGTTCAGGCGATTGACTCACATGGTTTGGGGAAGACTACGAGGGAGTCCATGTAAAACCCACTCCCTTCTGCCCACGTTCACATGGCCCATGCTGAGGGAATTCAGAAAAGGAGACAGACCTGGGGGCGTGCGTCAGTCAAGGCAAGTTTCTTGAAGGAAGGAAGCAAAAACTCAGGAGGACACGGACTGGAACAGTCAGGGCAATTTCAGGCTGTGACAAAGCTGGGAGAGACAACCGTAGCAGAAGCAGGAGTCACTGACACTCTAGGTCAGGCCAGGGCTAAGCCAGAGAACCTATTAATAGTAATCCACAAATCGGTATGGGGCACTCCTGGGAACTCTCTGCTCCCAGCGTCGTACCTTGCGTGATCTTTAGCAGCTCTCTGAAGCAGACAGAAGAGGGCCAGCCATCTTTCTTCCACCTTTGAGGCTTGGGAAGGGTGAGAGACTTGCTAGTGACACAACTCCACCAAAGGGGTGTGGTGAGATAAGGGCCTGGGCTCCTGACTTCTGGGCTAGGGCTCTTCCAAAGGCATAGTCTGGAGAGTCCTGGCTGTGGCCAGACCATGGGGGAAGTGGCTAGAGTAGAGAGCAGAGACAGGTGCGGTCCCAGGGATTAGCACTGAGGGACCGGATGGGGGAGGGAGGCCTCACTCTGTTCTATCTGAGCAGCTTCCTCGGCCATCATGGGACTGATTGAGACCACGCGAGGGCTCCTCCCGGGGGCAGGTAATTGGAACTACAGCACCTGCCCAAATCTACCCCATCAGGGTCCTTCGCTGCTTTCCTTTTTTGCCCTCTGTTCCGGGCTCTGCCCTCCTATCTGAACTCTGCTCCTCTGAGAAGTCTTGGCTGAGTCCCAGCCTGGGCCTTCTCTGGGTTCCCACTTCCCATGCTGATTCACACCCTGCCCCCTCCATCCTGGCAGGAGGGACTCAGAGGCTGCCACGCTGTCTGGGGGTGGCCCTGGCGAAGGAGCTCATCTTCACGGGCCGACGACTTAGTGGAAGAGAGGCCCACGCACTGGGGCTGGTGAATCACGCTGTGGCCCAGAATGAGGAGGGTGACGCCGCCTACCACCGGGCACGAGCACTGGCCCAGGAGATCCTGCCCCAGGTGTGGTGACAGCTCGGCACCGCAGGGAGGGCCGGAGTCATGGGGGAGGCAAGTGTCGGGCAGGGTGCCCCTTGGGCTGCACTTCCATTCACTCAGAGACATATGATTAGCCTTCTTCAGAGTTTAACGATCCAGTAAACACAAGTCAAATTTTAATTCTGAATTAAAATGTAATGTAAATGGAATTCCAAAGGACTGGAACCAAATGGGCTTGAAAGCCCTCCGAATGTAACACTGTCCAGTAGACCATTCTGAGATGAGATAAATGGTCTATACTTGTGCTTATCCAGTATGGGAGCCACTAGTCAAAAGATTTAAATTAGAGAAAATGAGTGTAGTTCCTCATTCACACTAGCCACATTTCAAATGCTAATAGCCACATGTGGCTTGTGGCTACTATACTGTATAGCACAGCCTTAAACCCCAAAGACTAAAAAGCAAGATTCTAAAATGGATGCAGAACTTCCAACCCATATTTCCTACCATACTGCCTGCTGGAGATATTCTTGAAATACAACATGCAGGACATGTATTAAGCTTTTTTTTTTTTTTTTTTGAAGAGACAGGGTCTCACTCTGTCATCCAGGCTGGAGTGCAGAGGTGCAATCATGGCTCACTGCAGTTTTAAACTCCTGGACTCAAGTGATCCTCCCGCCTCAGCCTCCCAAAGTGTTAGAATTACAAGCATGAACCACCGTGCCTGGCCAGGATTCATTTTTTAGCCAGATGTGGTAGTTTGAGCCTGTAATACCAGTTATTTGGGAAAAAGCATTGCTTGAACCCATGAATTTAAAGCTGCTACTGCAGCTCTGTGTAAGCTGGTCATACCACTGCACTTCCAGCCTGGCCAACAAAGTGAAATCCCATTGCTAAAAACAAACAAAAAGCAAAAAAACAACCAAAAAAACACCTTCATTAAAGAAATCCTCAAATAGCATGGGAGGGGGTGAGGGATAAAAGACTACACATTGGGTACAGTGTACCAAAATCTTAGAAATACCACTAAAGAACTTATCCATGTAACCAAAAGCCACCTGTTCCCTAAAATCTATTGAAATAAAAGAAAAAAATTTAAAAATCCTCAAATAATAACCTCTCAGCATGGTACCCCAAAAAGGTACCATGCTCACTAGGGAGCAGGTTAGGCTCTGCCCAGGCACAACCCTACCAGCTGAGGGCCCAAAACCCTCAGCAGGGATATCTGGGATCTGGCTGTCTGGGGTCTCCAAGGCCCTGCGAGGGTCTGCTGGCTTCTCCCAACTCTAAGGGGACCCAGGATAGAGGGGGTTGAGTAGAGGAAATCCCAAATTTCCATAAAGATTAAAAGTGGCTGAAATGGAGCTAGGTTAGACTAATTTATAATAAATTTGTCTTAGCCTACAATGCTAGATGCCTTAATACAGTGTCTCAACTCTTAGAACAATCCAGTTGAGTTGATTATCCCCATTTTATTTGTGAGAAAACCCATAAAAGTTCAGTGACTTGCTCATCAAGATCACAAAGAGTGATTGCAGTATTAGAAAAAAAACAACACTGGTATTTTGGCATTTATTTTGCACAATACAGAATGCAATATAAAAAAGGTATTTTAAGAGAGTAAGCTAGGTGTGGTAGCTCACCCTGTAATCCCAACACTTTGGGAGGCTGAGGCAGGTGGATCACCTGAGGTCAGGAGTTCGGGACCAGCCTGGCCAACATGGTGAAACCCCATCTCTACTAAAAATACAAAAATTAGCCGGGCATGGTGGCATGTGCCTGTAGTCCCAGCTATTTGGGAGGCTGAGACAGGAGAATCACTTGAACTCAGGAGGCGGAGGTTACAGTGAGCTGAGATCGTGCCACTGCACCCTAGCCTGGGCAACAGAGTGAGACTCTGTTTCAGAATAAAAAAAAAAAAAAGTAAAATATGTACAAAATTTTAAAAACTGAAACTAAATATTTAATGCATTTCAAATATAAACATTTACAAACCTATCACAAAACAAAGTTAACCATACATCATTTTAATATTGACGTATATTGAATTAATCATACAAAAGTAACCATTTTGGCTTGGCATGGTGGCTCAAGCCTATAATCCCAGCACTTTGGGAGGCTGAGGCAGGAGGATTGCTTGAGACCAGGGGTTCTAGACCAGCCTGGGCAACATAGTGAGACCTCACTTGTATTAAAAAAGAAAAGAAGCTGGGCACAGTGGCTCATTGCTGTAATCCCAGCACTTTAGGAGGTCAAGACAGGTGGGTCACTTGATGCCAGGAGTTTGAGACCAGCCTGGCCAACATGGCAAAACCCCGTCTTTACTAAAATTATAAAATTTAGCTGGGCAAGATGGCTCATGCCTGTAATTACAGCTACTCAGGAGGCTGAGGCATGAGAATCACTTGAGTCCGGCAGGTGAAGGTTGCAGTGAGCCGAGATCGTACCACTGCACTCCAGCCCAATTGACAGAGCAAGATTGTTACTAAAATAAAATAGTATAATTTTGAACAAAAATCCTTTCTTTCCTGTCTCTTAAATGTAAATAATCCTAATACTTCTTAAAACAGATCTTCTTTAATTTGGGGGTCAGGACTATAGCTTTTTGAAAGCATTTGTCTTTTTTTTTAAAGTTTCATCATATATAAATGAAGAGTCTGATGCTGTTGCCTAGACAGTATTAATGCTGTCAGGTTTCTATTACACTTGGTTAGAAAGTCTCTGAACTAATACAGAACTCTGGGTCACTCAAGGGAGTGGCTGATTGCAGCTTTCACACCTAGACCTGTAGACTATAGGGTTTGTCTTTTTGCATTAACTAAATAACAATCACAAAACAATTCAGATTTCCAAATATATTGAAATAATGGTACTATATAATTACTGATATTTTCAGTACTTAAAAGTAGCTTTGTATACCAAAACACCAGTCTACCAAAAACAAGTCCTGGCGTGAGTAATCCCACAGTTGAGACCTTCTGGGTCAACCTGAAAAACGAAACTTCAACTTCCACCTATGTTACTGGGTGCTCAGAATAAAGGTTCCCAGATAGGTGGGAGCCAGGGATAGTGTAGATGGCCACCATCTAGTGGACAAATCACTCTGATAGGGTAGCAAATGGTTCCAGAGTTTTCTCAGCCCAGAAAAAAACTGTCAATATCCTCAGTTTGCATCAGATTTCTTTCTTAAATAGTAAATACACATTACACTTTGAGAAATGGATTCGGCTGTGTTTTTTAATTTTCTTTTTAGAGACAGGATCTTGCTCTGTTGCCCAGGCTGGAGTGCAGTGGCACGATCATAGCTCACTGCAGCCTTGAAGCCCTGGGCTCGAGCCATCCTTCCACCTCAGCCTCTGAATAGCTGGGACTACAGGTGCAAGCTACTGACTTGGCTAGAATTTGGCTGTTTTCACTCACAAACATATGTACATACTATTTTTAACTTTCTTTAATTAAAGGGTACTTTTTTTTTTTTTTTTTTTTTGCCCAGGCTGGAGCACAGTGGCATGATCACAACTCACTGGAGCATTGACCTCCCAGGCTCAAGTGATCCTTCCACCTAAGCCTCCTGAGTAGCTGAGACTACAGGTGCAAGTCACCACGCCCAGCTAATTTTTTATTTTTTGTAGAGATGGGATCTCACGGTGATGCCCAGGCTGGTCTCAAACTCTCTGGGCTCAAGCAATCCTCTGCCTCAGCCTCTCAAAGCCCTGTGATTACAGGCATGAGCCACAGCACGCCTGTGCTGTGTAATCTGGCTAAGATTACTTTATTGGGTAGTTACCTAAATAATCATCCATATGGCAAGCAAATCTAAAAGAACAGAGGAGTAAGAAGGGCATAAGGTAAAAATCAAAGGCAAGACGACCAGCTAGTCCTGGTTTACCTGTGGCTATCCCAGTTTTAAAAGCGGAAGTCCCACATCCCAGTAACCCTTCAGTCACAAGCCAACCCAAACAGCCCTTCATTCCCCAATCCCTCTCTCCCCCCAGATCATCACTATTAAGCTTCCATACTCTTCCAGAAATTTCCATTGCATATGGAAGGACGTGTATTATGCACATATGCTTACATATTTAAATAAATTCCTTTTAATGACTTAGAGGACAAGAAATGACTTAGAGGACCTTCATTTATAAAACGAAACAGCCGGGCGCGGTGGCTCAAGCCTGTAATCCCAGCACTTTGGGAGGCCGAGACGGGCAGATCACGAGGTCAGGAGATCGAGACCACCCTGGCTAACATGGTGAAACCCCATCTCTACTAAAAAATACAAAAAACTAGCCGGGCGAGGTGGCGGGAGTCTGTAGTCCCAGCTACTTGGGAGGCTGAGGCAGGAGAATGGCTAAACCCGGGAGGCGGAGCTTGCAGTGAGCTGAGATCCGGCCACTGCACTCCAGCCTGGGCGACAGAGCAAGACTCCGTCTCCAAAAAAATAATAATAATAAAAAATAAATAAATAAATAAAACGAAACAAAGGTTTTGTTTTCTATTCTTCCCTACCCTTTTTTAGGGTACATTTAACCAGTACCCCAACACTAAACCTTTCTGTTGTTCCTATCTTTTTGCTACCACAAGACAGGTGGAGTTAATATAAAAGTGCCTACAGGAGCCACAGCTCTGAGAGAGCATGCACACCAGCATTTTTCCAGTTTTTGCCAAATTGCTCTCCTGAGGCATACTCTTTTACTTTTCTATCAATAATGTATGTAAATACTGGTTTCCCCAGTCTCGGCAGTAGTAGGCCTATTGCTATTTTAGTATTTGCTGGTCTGAGGTTAAAGGGCACAGTACCTCACTGTTTTGCCGTTCAAGCATGTAGCTGCTGGACATCCTTCATGTTCATATTTCTTTTCCGGTGAAGGACCTTTACATACGCTTTTGTAAATGGTTTAAAAGTTACTTTATACTAACATGTTTGTAAATCAAGGACATTCATCTGTCATAAGCATTATAATTCTTTTTCCCAGTTTTTTTTTTCTAGACAGAGTCTCACTCTGTCACCCATGCTGAAGTGCAGTGGCCCGATCTCAGCTCACTGCAGCCTCTGCCTCGCGGGTTTAAGCATCCCGCCTCAGCCTCCCATATAGCTGGGATTACAGGGGCCCACCACGATACCCGGCTAATTTTTGTATTTTTATTAGACATGGGGTTTCGCCATGTTGGCCAGGCTGGTCTCAAACTCCTGACCTCAAGTGATCCACCCGCCTTGGCCTCCGAAAGTGTTGGGATTACAGGCGTGAGCCACCGCACCCAGCCGTTTTTCCCAGTTTTTTACTTTTGTCTTTTATTCACGGTGTTTTTCCCAATTGGAAGTTCTTCATTTTTATGTAGCTAGCTTTTTCATTTATAGTTTTTATGCTAATATACTTTAAAAATTGACTTTTCCTGAGCAAGTTTTAAACACTTCAAATAATATGATGTAGGGAGTAATTCCTCCTTGCCTGAAAGTGGGGCTGAGACTGGAGTGCTAGGGCTGGTGTGGAACCAAGGCCAGTGACAAAGCAGACACTGTTGCTTCTCTGTGGCTGTATTAAAACGCACCCACCCCCACCCCTGCACCGCCCAGCAGACCAGGATTTCACCTCAGCCCTGTCGACTGGAAAGCCCAAGCTCCTAACCCTGACTTTGTTTCACTCTGCTGGCGTGAAACCTGCTTACCACAGAGGCTGGCATTTGCTGAAATGAGGTTGAGGAAGTGGGAAAGCTGGCTGGGAGTCCAATCCAAGTCTCACCAATGATTGGATAAACACAGCCAAGTGCTTCACTTCCCTGCACTGCAATCTCCCAGCTGTAAAATGGGTGATCAGTGATGACACCAGCTGGAAGTGTGGGTAGCACCATTAGATGAGTCCGTGGGGAGGAAAGCACTTTATAAACTAGTTATGTTGTGCATGTTGGAAGGACACCTGAAACCCAGGTGTTCAGGGTCAGAGGCTGGCTTATTTCATGATGGAAAAAGAACCTCAGCTAACAGGTTATAGGACTAACGCTAAAGAAACTACGTGTCAGTAGAATGGCTGGAACTAGACCCAGACATCTGCCTCCCTCCTTCAAAACAAAGCTGTGCACCTCAGACCTGCAACTATCAACCTTGAGCCCCTCCTCAACCAAGACTTTGCTTTTCCCCAGGCCCCCATTGCTGTGCGGCTGGGCAAAGTAGCCATTGACCGAGGAATGGAGGTGAGAGCGTTTTGGGTTGGGACTTGGGGCCACTGAAGTTGGTCATGGCTGGGACGCAGTGCTTTCAGAGCTCAGACAGACTGACAGCACAGCTGGAAAGAACTCAGGAAGTGGACTCTTCTAACAGACTTTGACCTCGCTCTCTACCCCAGTTTAACCATCTGCAAACTGGAAGTTTGGCCAGATGATATTATTGTTTATATTCTATCCTCATCTTTCTCCCTTGGAGAGAGGAGGAGATTGAGGTTCAGAAGGGGTAAATGACTTGCCCAAGGTCTCAGAGGAAGTGAGTAGGAAGAACCCGGGTCCGTGTGGCTCCCAGTCCATGCGGCAAGGTTTGTGCTGGCAGTCAGTAATGTGGCCTCAGGGCAGGGCTTGGGGTGATGCCTTGGGTGTGGCTGATCCATCTGCCCACCCCAACTCACCCATCCATTCACTCATCACATACTGAATCCAGACCAAAGCTGGCAATTGGGATACAGATAGATGAGTTAAACATGGTCACTGCCCCCAAGATGGGAGGGGGCAGCTACAGACACAAATCTAGGATAATGGCACCATGCTGACACCCCCAGAGAGGTTAGAGCTTTGTGGTCCATTATGATAGCCACGTGTGGCTTTTAAATTAAAAGTAAAATGCTCAATTTCTCCTTCCCACTAATCACAGTTCAAGTGCTTGACAGCCACATGTGGCTAGTGGCTACCATACTGGGCAGTGCTGGGTTAAAGAATGTTTTCTACAGTTGGACTGTGGGAAGGATAAGAATTCCAGAGGAAAAGTATGAGCAAAGGCACAGAGGAGGATAAGCAAGCAGCTCGACCAGATGAGAGTGAGGGAAGAGGACTGTGTGCAAGTTCGAAGCACTGGCACTGGGCTGTCTGGGTTCAAAGACCTGCTCTTCCACATACTGTTGTGAACTTCAACAAACTATTTCACCTTTCTATGCCTCAGGTTTCTCAGCTGTAGAATAGGGACACTAACCCTTGCTGTGAAAATTGAGTTCACGCGCACGGTACTTCTCTTAGAACGAGGCTTTTAAGTGCCAGTCAGTGAGCCCTAGAGGCTGGAGCAATTGCCAGGGGCGAGGTCATAAAGGTCCAGGAATTAACAGGGGTGACAGGAAGCATGGTGAGGCAGCCAGATGGGAAGGAGGAACACTGAACTCCTCTGGCAAAATGTCTCAGTCTGTCTGGTTTCTCCCAGCACTGTTTTGTCATAGTTATGGTGTTCCTTCTCTAGGAAGGGAATTCCTTCTCATAGCTATCTCTGCTCACATAGATGTCTGTAGGTAACGGGGTGGGCTGGCTTCCAGTGTGGGTGAAGATGGACAAGGTCAGACCAATCCAGGGAGCACTTCTTTCTTGCAGGTGGACATTGCATCTGGGATGGCCATTGAAGGGATGTGCTATGCCCAGGTATGTAGCCCATGCCTGCTTGTTAACATAGGCTGGGCCAGGCTGGAGGGACTTTGTATAATACATGACCAATTTAGAAGGTTCCTCTCAACACAGTCTGACCGCATCCATCCTCCCGCATAAGTCACCTGGAGTGGCTTGAGGACAGCTACAGTGCTTCTCTCTGGGACTTTTCCCTCAACCATCTAATGTACTGGGGTACAACCTGCCCACTTAATGCCGAGAATCACAGAACACAGGTCCTTAAGAGGAAGAAGCACTTCTTTTGCCTTTGTATCAGTTGCCACTGTAAAGGCCAGGCTGGAGTTGGGAGGTCAAGGGCTTGGTTGTAGCCTGCAAGCTGTGTTCAATGTAAGGGTGTACACTTGGGACTGACCTCTTAAATCTCTTACTCATGGGTGAGTAAGAGATGCTAATCTCCAGGTTAACAGATACCCAAAATACTCCTAAGGGGTGCTGGGACTTGGAGAAACTAGTGTGAACCTGGATTCAAAGCCAGATTTCTTACTGTAAAGAATTTTTCTTCTCTACTGAGCAGCCTCACGTCAGACACTGCAGAAGGCAGTGAGCTCTCTGGAGGCATGAAAGCATGAAAGCAGTGTGCAAGGGGAGGCTAATGCCTATGGGGCGCAGAGATACAAAGGCTGGCCTGTCTTCCCCAGGAGACAAAGCAGCCACGGAGGCTTACACCTTTGCATGCCTCAAGACCAGAGTCCAGAGACAATGAAAACACTTGGACCCTGGCTTTGTCATGGGCTGGACAAGCTTAAGCAACTCTTTCTGGGCCTCCGGCCCTGCTCCCCCAAAACTAATATTTTGTACCTTGTTGCAGAACATTCCAACCCGGGACCGGCTAGAGGGCATGGCAGCCTTCAGGGAGAAGCGGCCCCCCACATTTGTTGGTGAATGACCCCCACTTTAACCTTCAGCTTGGGAGATGCATGCCCTGAAGAGCAGGATCCAGAAGGAAGATTTGTGGCCGGACTGCCTTCATTATTTCACCTCTCCAGGCTTCCGTTTCTTCACAAGGATGATGATGGAGATAAAATGACTGGCGTGATGCCTAGAACCAAGGTGCTGATCCTACCACCTACTGCTGCCTTCCTTAGCTTCACCCTGGCTAGAAATAATCACGAGGGTTGGGTTTGCTTTGGAAAATGCCTGTCTCGCTACTTGAATGATAAAGAATTAAATTAGATCTCTCTGAGTCTTGGTCTCATTGGCTCTCAGCCCCTGACCTCTCTTAGTTATCAGGCACTCACTCACTAGAGCTGTCAAAAGAGTTTAAGGTACCCCTAGTTTCTTCCTGTGGACAACAGAGGTAATAAATAAACTCTGACATTGGTTGAACATGTGTCAGGAGTCAAACTGCAGATCCCAGTCTCTGCCAGTTACTTGCTGTATAACCTCGGACAAATTGTTTAAACACTCGGGGCCTCAGCTTCCTCACCCACAAAACAAAACTTGTGAAGATTTAGCAAAATAAAAACACTTCATAGTCAATAAATACATTTTAATTGTTAACTTACAGTGTTTTTGTGAGAACCAAATGAAATCATCACTGTGAAACCCTTTGTAAACTATAGGGTGGCAGAAAAATCTTTTTATTTTTTGAGACAGGGTCTCACTCTGCCACCCAGGATCCAGGCTGGAGCGCAGTGGTGTGATCTCAGCTCACTGAAGCCTCCACTTCCCAGGCTCAAGTGATCCTCCCACCTCAGCCTCTGGAGTAGCTGGGACTATAGGCGTATACCACCATGTCCAGCTAATTTTTGTATTTTTTGTAGAGACAGGATTTCGCCATGTCACCCAGGCTGGTCTTGAACTACTAGGCTCAAGCAATTCACCCACCTAGGCCTCCAAAAGTGCTGGGATTACAGGTGTGTGCCACTACACCTAGCCTCCAGGAGACTCTTTCATAGCAGTTAGGAGCACTGAGAAGAAGGGGGCAACTAACTCTAATGGAAAGAAGGGAGGATCAGGAAATGGGCAAGTAACACTGGAATTGAAGCCTGAAGGATTAAGGAACATTTCAAGGACAGAAGAGGAAGTTTGACACAGCATGAGCAAAGGTGAGGAAGAGGTTGATACACTTAGAAAACCAAGAGCAGGCTGATACATAACCATACTGGTCCCAGTACCCCTCCCTCCTCTGGTACCAAGGCTACGTCTTAAGCTATGGCCTTGCAGTCATCCTCCAACTGGATCTGAGCTCTGGCTAAGCTGAGCCTGGGCCTGGCCTAGAGTCACTAAACCATGGGCATGGATACAATGTAAATAACATTGCCGATTTCTGCAAAATACAAATGTGCTCCCAGGGTTATGCTTGCATCCTGGAAGGAAGAGTAACACAGGAGAGCCCAGGCCTTTACAGTCAGCACAAACCACACCAGCTATGACAACCCAGGAAACTCACCACCTTACTGAACTTCCTTTTTCTCATCTGTTAAGTGAGGAAAATAAAACTCACCTACCCATGAGGATTGTTGTGAATGACACAGAACTTGAAGGGATGTCTTGTACAGAATTGGACTTAACACACTGGTTCCCATAACACATCCTCACATCAGCATAAGCTAGCATCTGATAACAATGTTCTGAAGTGCTGGAACCCAGGTCAGGAAGATACCCTTTTGGAATCATGCAAAAGTGTGAAAAAATACAGTACAGTTTAAGGACTATGGAAGGAAGTAAGGTTACAAATTCTGCTTATCTGGTTGGACTCTGGTAATAGTTTGGAACATGGTTTAGAATAAGAATAAGCTTCTTCCTCATTTGAGGAACTAGAGTACATGGTACTCTAGTTAAGAATCTGAACCAAGCCAGCTAAAAGCACAAAAATCTAGTCTTAAAATGTGCTAATCAACAAAACCTTACTTTTATTTTCTGAAAAACTTAAACAGATAAATGACAAAACATGTTCATTAACAGTCAACAATAAGGCGAGGAAGGAATTCACACTCTATTCCTCAAAGCAGCTCCGCAGGGCTTGTGAAACAAGCTTCTGATACAGTTTATACTGTAGTTGAAGCTGGTTTCAGAAAAGCTTCATGCTGGGTAAGAAAACTCGGTGAACTCTTTGGCAAAGTCTCTTTCTGGCCTTTCCTCTTCTGCCAGTTTTGGTCATGGTCCCACCCAAATAAAATGGAGGGATTCAGATTTATCATTACATACAATCTTTCATCTAAACACTGCCTGCAAATGCGGAAGTCCCACCATGCCCTACAAGCTCACTCACATACACAGCATGTCATGTTCACATAACAGGAAACATGCCAAAGATAGACACCCAAAATTGTAAAAAAAAAAAAAAAAAAAAAGGCCAGGTGCAGTGACTCACACCTGTAATCCCAGCACTTCGGGCAGCCAAGAAGGGCAGATCAGGAGATCAGGAGTTCGAGACCAGCCTGACGAATACGGTGAAACCCCGTCTCTACTAAAAAATGTAAAAATTAGCTGGACGTGATGGCATGTGCCTGTAGTCCCAGCTACTCAGGAGGCTGAGGCAGGAAAATTGCTGGAACCTGGGAGGCAGAGGTTGTAGTGAGCCGAGATAGAACCACTGCACTCCAGCCCGGGCGACACAGTGAGACTCTGTCACACACACACACAAAAAAGTAAAAGAATATATTTCTCTTTCCTCCACCCCTCTATTCTTTTGACATGAGGTCTCACTCTGTCATCCAGGATGGAGTGCAGTGGTGCAATCTCGGCTTACTGCAACCTCTGCCTCCTGGGCTCAAGTAGTCCTCCCACCTCAGCCTCCAAGTAGCTAGGAGTAAAGGTGCACACCACCACGCCCAGCTAGTTTTTGTATTTTTTGGTAGAGACGGAGTTTC